GCTTTTAGTCTGAGCTTTTATTCTTGCATGTAATTTATATTTATTTGTTAATATACAAATTAAGTCTTTTCATAAAAAATTATGTAACTACTTATATAAATTACCCAATAAAGATATGAGCAAGGCCTCACCTTAAATATATAAAAAAAAAAAAAAAAACAATATAGCTGTATAACTTGAGATACAAACTTCTAGAAATATATTAGTAAAATTAAAAAAAAATATTTCTGTTAGATATACCAAACTAGAAGCAAATAATACTTATCTAGAGTAATAAATACTAATTTAAAAATAATATAAAAACATATAAATACTAATTAATATAGTTCAGAAATCTTTAAATCAGCAACTAAAATGCATAATATTTAAAAGCTTATAAATAAAAAATTATAGTAATTACAAACCAAATCTTTTTATAAGTAATAAAATATAATCTAAAGAACATAGTTATAGTGTTTATTTTTTTATTTAATTAAATTTTACAGTGTAGAATCTTTTAATGATAGTTAATTTTATTAATTAAACAAAATTTGGCCAATCACGTAATGCTAAAATAAGGTATTCTATTGGTCAGAATAAATAATAAGTAAAATTATATAATAAATAATTTATATAATTAGTTAATTAGAAATGAATATTGATTAAACTAATAAATCTTATCATAGAGTTTATTGTAGATTGCAGAATTGTGTATAATCTTATATAACAAATATTGGTATAAATAGACTATTTACTTTTTCTTACAAAATGAAGTAGTAAATAAAAGTGCCTGAAAGTTTTGAGCTATAAATGCTTATTGTTAAAAAAGGCATTACTATAGTCTTAGTTAAATGAAGATATTTATAGAAATAAAAAATATTACCTAATACACAAGATAGTTATGTGTAAAAATAAAAAAATGGAGTTTGAGAGCTAAATTCCACATAGGCAAAAAGCCTAATTATTAACCAGTTTGATATTTAAAAAGAATAAGTAGACAATAGGGGGCAGAAAGAAAAAAAAATAGTCAAATATAGAAACCAATTGACTGTATTTATCTAAAAATAGCATAATATGAATATCTAAAATTAGCAGTTAATATCTTCAAAACTTTGCAACATTTTGATTGAATTTACATATTATTTAAAAATTATTACTCCTCAAATAATATACTTAATTTGTAAGCATAGTTTAAAGAGAGCTACAAACTGCTAAACTTTTTTTTTTGAGTAGAGTGTATCTTATTTTGTAGTATATTAAAAGTAAAGCAATAAAACAATTAATAAAAAAAATTTAAAATTAAAAAAAAATAAAAAAAATTTAAATATAAATATAGCATTTCAAGATGCTCTGATTGTTGAAAAGAAAGATTTATTTACAAAAAATCAGAATGCAAATAAAAGCTGAGAAATGATGCTAGATAGATGCTGATAATAGTAATTCAGAAATAAGTATTTTGAGAGCTGATGAAGCTGATAATATTATTAAAAGGTTAATGAATACAGTTCTAGAAGTAACTACTTACTGGCTACTTGTATATATTGGAAACTCTAAAAGAACAAAAAGAAGACAGAGACAAATACAGCAAAAAGCTACAGTTAAAACATCTAAATTAATATTATTTTAGTTATCTGTAAGTTATTTTACAACTTGTTTAACTAATTAAACTGTAATATAAATTATTATTAAGTTATATTAATTTGGATTCTTTATGAAAAGGTGGTGAATAAACATTGTTATGTGGGAAAAACGTATGCCTTAAAATCCCTACTCGTTAGGGTAAACCGGGAAAGGGTTTGCATAATGTTTAACAAGAATACTGTAATGTCTCGAAAGAGGATATTCGATTTGGCAGAGCCAAATAGATAGTTTATTAATTATGATGTTTGTGAGACACCTTACAACTTAATAAATGCTCACACTTATATACTAATTACATATCTACATAATATACTATATTCGCTAATTATACTAACTATTCTATATATACTATATGTGCTAGTTATGCTATTTCGGTCAAATTTGCTAAATCTACTTGATATGCTATTTTCACCAAATCTGTTACATCTGCTATATAGACTTATTATGCAATGTAAATAATTATGCAATCGATTCACCATTTGCACCTAATGAATCATTGATCCATTCTTAATCGTTACAACATGAAAGTATAAATAATAATTCAGATAGTAACTCTGAAATCTTTAAAAATAATTTTAAGGTTGATGATTCTGAGGTTGGAACTGCTAAGATTATGTTTTCTGAAAATTTGAACAATACTATTGGATAGCTAAAAGAAGAAATCAAGAGTAAAAGGCATAGTGAGGTAGAAAAAGCTCTCCTTTATACAATGCTATCCTATTTTCGTCTAGTTGAGTATAGTCACAAAAATTTGATGCAAGAATTGTGTAGCAGAAGCAGCAGAAAAAAGTGATTATCATACTTGTTGTATATATGTATGTGTAATAAATTATGCAAAAATAGTACAATTCCAATTTCAAGACAAGAAAAACATTTCAAAACCTGAAGCTTCTTATGGGATAATAATGTTTTAGTACAAATTGTCTTTTTTATAATCAAACAAATAGAATATCAATATGAAGAAATTGGCTAAACATGTGAATAAACAAATACTCCCAGGTTTTTGCTTTGATCTGTTACCAACTATATATAAAAAAACAGCTAGAAAATAGTTAAAAATATTCAGATTTGAATATTTGTAGTTAAAAAAGAATATACATAGATAGGTATAAATATACAGATATGGTTGTGTACTGTAAAAAGTTTTTGAAAAGAATAGCAGAATTTGAAGCATATATAATAGTTTTTTCTAGTAATAATATAGAAGAAGAAGTTTGACTAGCTTTTAATAATATTATTATTTTGGTAATACATGATAAATATATTTTTTTCATATATAATAAAAGACGCTAGTTATAATTGCCAAAAGAGAAACAACCACTTCATAAAAAAGGCCAAGTGTAGTCAGTTTATATAAGTAAATTTCTTACTAATGTTGGTAGACATTTAGCATTGCGTGAGGAAGATAAGGTATATATATAACTTTTAGCTTTATTTTGATTTACTTTTTTTTAAAATTAATCAAGTTTTCCCTTATAGATAGGTTTTCTTAATCTCTTATCAGAAACATGAGTTATAACTTATTTGAACAAAAATAGTAACAAGTAGTGAGACTCAGATGATTTTGTAAATTAGGTAGTAAATCATGCAATTCCAATATTTAAAGCTTGGTTTCTAGATGTAAAAGCTCTTTTCACATTTAATAATACAACTAGTCATTGTGTATATACTGAGGATGCTCTTATAGCAAAAAACATGAATTTGTCTTCTAGTAGTAAGCAGCCAAAAATAAGGTTTATACCTTATTTTATATACTTGAAATTAATGCAATTATATTTAATATTTTCAAATATATAAAAGTACTATATATGGAGATAACATTTAACAAGATATATGTTTTCTAGAAGATTATAATGATCCTGATCTATATAGTAAACCAAAAGGCCTGAGAGAAGTTTTAAGTAAAAGAGAATTGTGGCATGATAAAATAAGATTAGTATGTAAAGAAGAGTGTAAACAAGGAAAAACTGATTATTGCACTAGAACTACAATAGCAATTCAACCAGATTTTAAAGCACAATATGGAAAACTCGAAGAAGCAATTATTTTTGTAGATTATTATGTTATTAGTAAAAAATTTTATTTAGCATTATTATATACTATCTTTTTTTTTTTACTTTTGTTTTTTTTAAAAAATTAAGCCCATATTTAGATATGTTTATCTTATATCAATATCAATTAATTAGTAATCTGTCGTTAAAGGGTACAAATTTTATAGTAAAAATCAGCCGGCATGTGACTAGTTACCTTATATAGTAAGTAGAATGCCATGTGCTTCAATTTTTAAGAAAAAACTCTATAGTAAATGATTAAAAAATACTCATATCTTATGATCTATCCAACCAATTTTGATGATTTTACTACCATTAGAATTACAAAATATAGCTCTACAACTTTTAATTAAGCAACAAGAAAGAGTTACTTAATAAAAAAAATATTTTTATATATAAGCAAGCCCCATTTCTACACTATAAAAAAAATATATAAATTTTTGATTTTGTTTATTATAAGGATTATCATTTTTTGTAGGGTATGGCGACCTAGTGAAGTGGTGGGGTTGCTGCACCCCCAAGTGGCAGGTCTAGAGTTCGAATCTCACAGATGATGATTTTAAAAATACTAGATCTGTATTGGTTAATGTTAAGATTATCGGTTGGATCCAGATATCTGTAATCTTGGTCACACCATCTCAAATGGGAGCTTTAGTGCAATAAATCCAGGAAACCGGAATTACCGAAAACCCGTTTGGCAAGTCCCGAGTAGGGAGGTAGTATAATCTTTGACGGTGCTACAGGAAAACCAAATTTGGAATTAGAGACCGAGACTGGAGAACCAAGTGACCAGGTCCTTAAGTGGGGGGACACACCAGCCAAACCGCCAGGTCGCCAACTGAAGGAAAAGGATATGTGCTCTAGAAGCATGTATCAAGAGGAGGGAGACCGTAACGCACCTAAAGCCTGGGCAGACCGACCCTTTCGGGTTGCCGGCTGGAAGTAAGGAAGAGACCGGTAAAGAATCCAAGGAAGAAAGAAAGTCCGAATGTGGATACTGGGGTTGTGCGAACCTTACAAGTGTGAGGAGTATATAATGGGCGCCTAATTAGGAAGGTTGATGCTTGAGAAATGTCCGTAGAATGACAGCACCCCAAAAGATGCCGTGAGATATGAATACGGAATGGCAGGTCAATATGTACTAATTAGGAAGAAGTTATAGAAACATGCACGTGAATACATGTGTGGGACATGTACTGCTGTTTAGATTTACCTCAAGGATAGTTAAGTGTCCTAAGGTAGGGTGCGAAATCCATATTGGGTGATACCAAAATCTAGCATATGAATAGTGAGG